TAAAAATAAAAATATATATATTTATGAAAAAAATGTTCGTAATTTGTATCATTAGATAGATTAATTTTTTTATATATATTTTCATTCACAGATAAGCAAGATATAGTTCTTCACTTTTTTAGCTTTTTTTATTTACCTAATTTATAGTTGTTTTTTTGTTTGATTTTAATTAATATATAAAGAGAAAATTGGGTTTTTTTATCTCATGAATTTTTTTATGGGTGTAGACTGGCGCCGAAGGTGATGAACATTTTGATTAAAAAAAAAAAAGGTTAAAGTAATAGACATAATTGAAAAGAGAGATATGATTTAAGGAAGATGATTTGGGAACATTTTTTTGTATTATAATTTTATATTATTTTTTTGTACAATCTTATGTGTTATTTAGATTATTAATTTTTTTTTTTATTTAAAACTCATTGTCACGCCTCAGAATCCAAATTCGAGGACGTGGCAGACGCTGTGCACTCATGAGACAAGTCCCACAAACGCACAAGGCTTGGAACTTATGCAAATCACAATTCTGAAGAATAAAATCTAACTTACAAAAGGATGATAAAATCTAAAACTTATATCCACTTAGAATGGCTAGCTTTCTATCTCATCACTCCCCTTGGTTTTCTCGTCCTCGATTTCGCTTCCTAAAATGATGGACAAGGAAAACTATGAAATAAAATATCTCAGCAAGTAAAAATATGGATAGCCCTTGGTAAAAATTTAAGCATGCCAAATAAACCATGTAAACATAACAGAACTTTCAATGGTAAACCGTTAATGCAAAATCCAATTCAGTTCAATAACAAAGTGTTCAAAGACAAACCGTTAATGCAGAAAAAAAATTCAGTAGTAGTCTCATCTATAGGTCATGGCCAGCGTTTATAAACCTCCCACTAGCGGGCACAGTAGTAGTACCAGTGTTTAACAACTCCCACTGGCAGGCGTCAGTAATGGTACTAGTGTTTAACAACTACCACTGGCAAGCGTCAGTAATTACCAATGTATTATCCCATTGGTAGGATTACAAAATGGACCGGTCATATCAGTAAACATGTCGACATGTGCTAGCGTTTATAAACCTCCCACTAGCGGGCACAGTAAACATGACCATATCAGAGACCATAAACCATGCAGAATTTACAGAAAAACCCAAAATTCACAATCAATCTCAAATTTCATGAATAACCAGAAAATTCCATGTGGGCATGGATTTAATAGAAAATTCAAAACTTACAAAATTCTCAGTTCATCAAAACAGTTCAGTCAATTTCAAATAGGCACGCTCTACTCTAGAAAAACAATGAAATTCTCATTTTCATTCCAATCATGCTCAATTCCAAAAAATAATAATTTTCATAAAAATCATCAAAATTTTCATTTCAGTTTAATCACACTCAGATGCTAATAAAATCAATTTAAAATCAATTTAAACCTTGCCACCATCTCAAAAACAAATTAAAACATACTTTGAAATCGAAGGGCATTATCATAATTTACTTACCTCACTCGCATAAAACCAAAAACTCGAACTCAGTGCTAAACTGACAGAACGATCAAGAACCTAATCAAAATATCCAAGAATTAATACCTCACTACCACAATTTCAAAGTGAAATTATCATTAGCACTACCCCTAATCACGGTGCTATTTCTATCAATCTCCACATGATCAAACATCTCCAAATTTATTCTTATATTACAAACTAAATATTTAAATCCCCGTTAGTTGTTGACCCTGAGTGTGTGAACAGTGCCTTGACCCTCGGTGTGTGAACAGTACCCGTAAACAGTAACCTCAACTTCCAAAATTAGCAAAACAATAACTAATCTCACGGGATTTTCTCCAAAATCACAACAACCCAATTCAAGCTAATTTACACTTAAACCAAGCTTGAAAACATAACTTAAGCTACCAAAATTTCCCCTATTTCTCACGAGCAGGAGAGCATGGCTTTGGCAAACCACAACTCACACACACGGGATTTTCACACAAAACATCACAGCAGCCAATTCAAGTAATTTCCACATAATTTAAACAACAAAACACATTTAAAGGGTTGCCAAATTCATCCCCTACTTCCAGCAGGTTTCGGACAACAAAAGGGCAACTCAAAAGCAGAAAATCCAAACAACACAAGGCAGCAACTATATGGATAAATTGAACTTGGAAGAGCCGGCAACATACCAGAATTTTCCGGCAACCAAAAGCCGGGTCCGGCGAACATGGAAGCTGACGGGATTTGGAGGAATTCACGGCAAAACTCTAGAAATTCAAGAACCAGTAACAAAAATTATAGTAACCCAAGCCAAATTAAGAGAGAGAGGATGAATTTCATGGTTGTGGCTTACCCGAAAAAAGCTCAAAATTCGCACCTCACACAGCAGAACTCGCGGACAGTAGAAGAGGAAGACGCAAAGCAACGCAGATCTGGAAAATTATGGATTTAACAAGTGTTTTAGAACAAGAAAATAGGGAGAAATCCCCAAGTTTTACCGGTATTCCAGGCCGGAAATGGGTGGCGGTGGCTAGGCAGTTCGTCGGGTTGCAGAGGGTCGGGAGGAAGAAGAGCAGAAACACGCGAGTCTGATGAGGAAGAAAAGAAAGAAAAAAAGAAAAAGAAAAGGAAAGCAGCTGATCCTTATACTAATTTCCTTTCTTTTCAGTCCCTCAATGTTTGAAAATTTGATTATTAAGCTCCAAAATAATATTTTCCCTCAAATAAGTCCCTTACTTAATGCTAAAATATCATCAAATTTTGGGATATTACACTCATGATATTAAATATATCTACTAACTTAATAATATGTGAAAATTGTATAAAAAAATAATATAAAAATATTATTCCTGCATTATCACTCTTGATTTAAAACCAAAATATAAAATCATGCGCTCTAACTAAATCCCAAGTTTGCAGCATGTGGCAAAAAAATAGGTTAAATTCCTATTTTGGTCCCTGAACTATTGTACGGACCCCCGATTTGATCTCTGAACTAAAGAAATCCCTGATTTGGTCCTTAAACTATTGTACGAACCTCCGATTTGGTCCCCACTATTTATAATTTGGCCTAAGTTAGTCCTTGAACTATTGTACGGACCCCTAATTTGGTCCTTACTATTTACAATTTCGCCCCAATTTGGTCCCTGAGCTATTATTTAACAGAAGGACCAAGTTGGGGTTAAATTGGTAAACAGTAGGGACCAAATTAGGTATCCGTACATTAGTTTAGGGACTAACTTGGGAGTCCGTACAATAGTTTAGGGACCAACTCAAGGGTCCATACAATAGTTTAAGGACCAAATTAGGGATTTCTTTAGTTCAGTGACTAAATCGGAGGTTCGTACAATAGTTCAAGGACCAAAATAGGGGTTTAACCAAAAAAATAATAATAAATAGTTTTAATTGCTGACCATGATGCAATTAACAGTCAACTAATGTAGAAATGGGCGTCAAGAAAAGGACAACAATTAACAAAAATATAGGGAGTAGAGGGACGATAATGAACAAATCTGTAGTAGAGGGATAACAGTTGGCTTTAAACCAATTCCTAAAGCAAGGTATCGACACTACCTTCATAATGTCGACACCTAATCTGTGCGAATTTTACCCCCTTCAATTTCTTCTATGGTAAACTAGTAAATAAGGTCCTTAATCTTTTACTTTATGAATAATTTGATCCTAAAACTTTTAAATTATTCAATTTTCCTTAGAATTTTAACTTTTTTTGCTCTTAAGCTTTTAAAAGATTTTAACTTAAGTCCCTCCCTAAACTTAAGTTATTATGCAATCAAGTCTTTTCTCCAAAAAATAATTATCTATTTAAAATGAAAATTTCAAAAAAAAAAATTGTTATTAAAAATAATATGAGTGAAAATGGATGAAATCTATTACTAAAATTTGAAATCTGTTACAATTGTGGTGAGTTATGGTGATAATTTTCATAATCAATAACCTATATTCTAACTGTGACCATTTTTTAGAGATGATTTATTTCATCATCATTGAACACATAGGTATTTGTGACTAATACTTAAAATGTGCTACAATTGTGATGAGCTCTAGTAACGATTTTCATTCTCACAAGCCTATATTATATTTGTGGTGGTTTTTAAGTGGCAAAATACCTCTTAGTGATGAATTCTTTTGTTGTCATTGAACATGTATGTATTTATAACCAATATTTATAATTTGTTATAATTGTAATAAATTATAATGATGAATTTTTTGCGTTACAAACCTATATTATCTTTGTGATTGTGTGGTAGTGACGAAATATTTTTTTAATAATGAATTTTTTTCATAATCATTGAACACGTGTGCATTGGTGATTAACTTTTAAAATCTATCACAGTTGTAGTGAGTTGTAGTGAGGTATAGTGACAATTTTAGAATTTGTCACAAATTTTCATCAACTAAAACCTTTTCTCTTGTAGTGAACATCTATCTCTATTTATAATTAAACTTCAGATCTTGCTTAATGCGAATCAAGCTCTTTTCACTCAGACCAACAAGTTGTTGGTATTATTTGTTACCTTGTAGCTCAATACATCTTTATTAAAAATGAAAATAAATAAATATATAAGAAAAATATTTCAAAGTTCATTCTCTTCAATTTATTTTTGGAGAACCTATCTAGAAGCTCTTCTTTTAATTAATATTTTTAAAAACAAATTGTTGTATTAAAAGTTTTGTTTATATGGATCACATATGCCAATTTTCAAATTGTTCTAGAAAGCATAACCACTTCATTAATTACAAAAAATTTAACACCATTAAATCCGTCAATAAATAATATTTCTTTATTAAACGATTACAAGTATTAGATAAATATAAAAATTGACATATATGATTTATACAAATAAAACTTTTAATTCAACAGTTGATTTTTAAAAATTTTAATTAGAATATGGGTTTTAGATGAATCATTCAAAAAATTTTTTTTGGAAGGACGACCTACCCATCACTATCACTTATATATATAGAAAGTGTCTATTAGCATCAACTCCAATAAAGAAATTGGAGTCTCATCTTAAAAAAAACCACCCTTCGATGAATATTTCTAAAAACTAACTGCTAGATTTAATCTTTCAATAATATAAATCATTCTATCAAAAAAAAAATACTATTTTTAATATATTTTTAATGGTAACAAATTTTCTATAATTATTGAATTAGTTATATATATTTAAGCAATTTGAAAATTAATATACATGATCTAAATAAATAGAATACTAAATATAATGGTTTGGTTTTGAAAATATTTATTAAAAGTAATATTTTTAAAGTTAAAACTCTAATTTAAAAAAAAAATTAGCATGATATGCATTATTATTATTATTATATATATATATATAGACACACACATCAAAATTCAAAATTTCAAATTCCGATCTTACACGCACAACTCCATGTGATAGTTTTAAATGAATAGATGTATAAGTATGTAATATTATGGATACATTCTAAACAAAATATAACTCTTAGCTACTACATAATGTTGTGTATAATATTATATAGTAAACATTGTGCATATAACTTTTTCCAATTTTAGATTGTCAAATCAAATCCACTCTCAAACAAGGATAAAGACAGATCATCGCATTTGAAAAAATTAGGAATAATTTGCCCTTCCAAATCGTCATTTGAGAAATGGCTCATTATTTAACAGTTGATGTCATCACATGTTAGGTTTCAATTAAAGCCTAAATGGCAAATGAATTATTTATATATATTGATGTTAACCATTAAATAATTAGTCATTTATTTTAATCAATAATTTAGAAAAATAATTTGTTCTTACTTTTTTTTAAAGGTTATACCTATCCTTACCTCTTATTTAGAAGCATACTTAGAGGTTTTATTGTTTTAAATACCCAATTAACCCCTTTTTTTTTCTTTAATTTTAAAGTTATATAATAAAAAGCAACCATTTCCTATCTGTAACTTACATATCGATATGTTGTAATCTCAAGTATTGGCATGTTGTACGATTCAATACCCTTCTTTTTCATAAACATAAAATATTACAAGAAACCAAATGAAATCCTTTTTCTTTCATCTGTATGTTTGTTTTTTACATTTTTTGAAATTAGTTATTTCATTCATTACCCAATTTTGCCTTTATTCTAGTTGTTTGTTGTTGTTTTAAGAAACTCATGTGTTTCTTTAATATATGAATTGATCGATCAATAAATTGAAACCCATGGCCTTTTTCACGATGCCTTCCATTCTCTTCTTCTATGTCACTTGCCCTCTGTTGATGCAGCAAACCTTCAAGACCTCCTTTGGTATAATCTTCTCATGAGATTAACTCGCAAAGCCCTGATGGTGGTCCTCGGGGTAGACACTCCAATGCTTAAGTTAGCAATAATCTAGTCTACGCTCTCGAGGAAAATATTAGAAGAGTTCTAGCTCTAGTTTTTTCCATTATACCTCTTTTGAGCAATGTGTGGACATATTTGTATATCTTGACAAGGCATCCATGTCGCTTTCTTAATCATCATAATTGTGATATGATGTGTCTGATAGGGCAAGCGTCTTTGGTGAACGTAACATGCCTTAATGGAGCAACCACATTAAATGGGTGTGGTGTGTTCTAATGGAGTAAGTCTCTCGGAGACGAAGGGTTAGGTGAGGACTAGTAATTGGGTGCGGGCGTTCTCATTGTAATCATCGTGCAACTATGGTAGAGTATTAAGCTCTACCTTGTCCTTACACTATTCCCCCCGGAAGTCATTCACTTGTGAATGATTAGAGCATTGTTGGTGTTCTTTAGGTGCACCAAAGGTGCAAATGTATGACATGTGGTTATTTGTCTTGGTTGTAGCCGACGTAAAAATGCATGACACGTGGTCATGTGTTTTGACCATAGTCGAAGTAAAACACTTATGAGCAAGCAACATAATGTATTTGGAGGAGCTTCTTATGGGCCTATGTGGGCTCATTTATTAAGCTATGAGAGCATTAATGTGTCGAGTGCCAACTGTCATTAAAGGACGCATAGTAATAAATATGGGCTACATAAGGGTGGGTTGTAGAAAGTAACCATCATATTCGAAGCGACGTGATAAGAGATCAAACGTTGAGTTCAAGGGGCTAAAACTGTGACTGTTGGATAAAATTAATCCTGGCCCTTGGATTTAATATTTGCACTGATATATATATATATCTATAATTTAACAAAATTTGGTTACCTTGCTGCAAAAATTATTGTATACGCTTTCAAATCTCGTGCCTTTTGTTTTACTTTTGTTCAACTGAAATTTGGTAACTTACAAATGCCTTTTTGCTTCTTCTACATTTCATTAGGATAGTGAAAATGTCTTTTGAAGAGATGGTTAACGTCAAAGGGGTTAGGGGGAGGATTGAGTGAAAAGAAGACGATTTGGGGGTACCTTAGAATATTCTAAAGAGGGACGATAGGAGAGAAGGGTGTTTTGATCTTGAGGATGAGATTGTTTCTGAGGTAATGGAGCATGAGACGTTCCTTAAAAGCAGAGGGAGTCTTGTATACTTGGTTTAAAACTATGGGGGTGCTTACGCATGTACCGTTGAGGTTGGCTGGAAGAAAGGGCTTGCTTTGCTGCATAGGACCGCTGGATGCCTGTGTATGCCCATTTCATGCTGGCTGGGCTATGGTTACCCTTTCTTGTGTTATTAGCGTGGGTTTTGATAAAGTACAATTTGGGGCTAACGCAGCTCGTCCCGAATGCTATGCGACTAATGATAGCTTTTGCAATGTATAACTGAGCTCAAGGGTTGCCGTTGCCAACTACAAACGTTTTCAAATATTTTTATGTGTTAAAGGCTAGGAGTGAGAGGGAGAAAGGGTGGTATTACTTTACTGCTTGGGTGTCTGACAATGAGAATAATGGTTTGTTCAATGCTGGACCGTCGTCCATCAAGGGATGGAAAGACAAGTTATTTTTTGTGGATGACACCAGATGGGAAAAGACAAACACCAAGGTGGAAAATGTAAGTAGGTGGAAGGGGAAAGGGGTAAACCTTAACAAGAACAGTTTGACCCCAGGGGAATTAAAAGATGTGAAGGTGTTGGAGGGGGGGATGAAGATGTATTGGACAATTTTTTGTACATAAGTCAGGAGATGTTGGATGCCTTTGAGATTTACAGGTTGAACTCTTTAAGTGGAGGTGTCTTATTAAACTGCTATAGTTTGGAGTGTTGTGATTGGTGTTTTAGTCTACTTTACTTTGTAGGTGAGATGAACAAGTTTCTGGATGCGGCTGGTAGAGTTGGAATTCCCAAGAAGAAGAGGAAAAAAGTGGTTGTTGCTATTGTGGGGAGGGAGATGGTGGCAGCTTTGCACCTCATCCTGATAATCGACCTCTAATTCTTTCCCAACGCGAAAACGTGGGTAGTGAGCTCATGGAGGCAGTTGGGGAGGATGAGCTGGTTGCTGCCGAGAGGAGAAAGGTAAAAGAACAATAGCAACCACAGCCCAGGGAAGAGATTGTAGAGTTCATGCCTCTGCCTCCTATTGAGGGTGAGTCGTCATCTCAAGAAGCAAGGGTTGCACATCAAGGCAAAGGGAAGGGCGATGTCCATTTGCCAACGTCGAGCTTTTATGAAGCTGGAATGAGAAGCATGACAAAGAGGTTCATCAACACCTACTTCCCTAAGGTGGATCGTCAACAGGCTCAAGACAAGGTAGCCCTTGATGGGGGGGTAAGGGTGGTACATTGGTATATCACGTCCTTGAGGTATGGGTTGTCATTCTCATTTGGAGTTTTGAGACGGAAGTTATTCATCATTGGTTATTTTAACTTTGTTTTATTGTGTAGGCTGCGAATCTCATTAACGCATTGTCAAACAAGTTCTTCGAAAGCTTGAAGGAAAGGACTAGGTTGAATAAAGAGAATGCCAAGCTCCTCTAGAACAATGAGACGATCGAGCTAGAGAAGGTGAAATTGATTTTTGAGCTAAATAAGCTCAGAAAGGAGAATGCCACTCTAAAGAAAGACTCGGAGAACTTGTACTAGAAAAGGAAAATATGCGAAGACAAGCTCGACAAGAAGGAGATGGAGCTAGACGAAGTGAGGAAAGTTGCGGCTAACCTGGAGCTTCAAGTACACAACTCTGCTGAGGTGCACAGAACAAAGTTCTTGAAGTCCAATACCTTTGATAACATCATCAACTTGTATCGGTTTCCCATTGCAATTACTACCTTCTTTGATTGCTAAAAGAAAGTAAAATTGCAATATCTTGAGGTTGACGTGACGAAAGTCACTTTCGAGGATCAAGAAGGAGAGGTCAAAGAGAACGGGGAGAGCGGAACTGCTGACTTTTGACTTAAGATCAAACTCAAATGGGATCGGGATAGCCAAGGTCGAACAGTTTTTTCACCGAACTTCGACTTCAAATTTGTGTCGGTAAATGACAAAGAAAGTAGAGGTGTTGACAAGCCAAATCAGCCTGCTAAATGATTTCTACTTCATCTATTTTTTGTAAATAATAGTTATATACAACTTTCATTTAATAAATTCAAAGTTCATTTTTCATGTGGTTTCGTGATGTCTTTTGGTGGGAAAAATTGAATGATTAAAACTAAACTCATAAGTAGACACAACACGAGTAAGAAAATTGATTTCGTCTCGGATTTGATTAGGACATCAAATAACATAAGGGAATGATGTCTTACATAGGGGTTTCCCCATTTTTCTTACTAAAACAAAACTAATTATTGCATCGGATATTTCGAGGTAAAAATAAAGAATCTCACCCTCTTCGGCCTTGGTCAGCAGAGGTGGTGAACTAAGATACGCCTTAAGCTCATCAAAGGTTGTTTGACATTCTACGGTCCATTCAAACTTCTTTGGCTATCTTGCTTCATCTTTTTGAGCCATAGACTTTAATACTCTAAAGAACGGTAGGCATTTGTCCATCGATTTAGACATGAACCTATGCAGAGCTACTACTCGTCCAGTTAGGTGTTGTACGTCTTTGATTGACTTTGGCGGCTTCATCTCTTTTATTGCCTTTGTCTTTTCAAGATTAACCTCTATCCCTGTCACACCCCAAAACCCAATTTCGAGACGCGACAGACACCGTGCACTCGTGAGAGGGTCCCACAAATGCACAAGGCTCGGAACTTATCACACTGAACTCTGATACCACCAAAATCTGAAGATCAAATCTTTAAAATTCTCTCTGATATCATAAAATCTCCAAATACAATATCATGATTCATATCTAAAATTTATATCCAATTACAATATGGCTAGCCTTCTAACTCGTCACTTCCCGTGGTTTCCCCGTCCTCGGTTTCATTTCCTGAAATGGTGGACAAGGAAAACTATGAGATAAACTCAGTAAGTAAATATGGAGTGCCCATTATTTAAACTTATAGCATGCCACATGTGCAATCACGCAAAACGGATA